TTGTAGAACAAGTTGTTTATATAATAGGATAATGACGTTTCGTTCGTGTAATAGGAAATTCAGGTTCAAAATAAGTCGATTCAAGCAGCAAGAATTTCTTTAGTTAGACATCGACGGGAATAAAATTCAAATAAATAAGATCTGTTGTAATTATACGTACATTAAATGAATATCTGTTATTTATAGTAATAAGGATGAATAAGTTTGAAATATTATAATATACACACGGATCAATATTTGGTAAATGAATGATTTAAGAATGTTATTCCAGATATTAAATTATTGATTGATTGACAAACAATTTCAATGTCAGACAATGGATATTTCTACTTAGAAAATTAACTTTGAAAGTTAATATATAACTTTTTTACTTTTATATTGTATGTATATATTTTTGTATTAATGATTGATGTAACTATATGTCAATAATATCACAATTATAATATTTTTTATATAAATGAAATATATATTAATAATATCGAATAATTAATTCAATTTTCATAAAAAACAATTATGGTTGGCATTGTTTTATTATAAAGATAGGTATGTGATATTTTAGTAATTTGCTTTTTATTTTAACCAACAATACAATTTCAGAGATAAATAATTTAATGACTTCATTTTAATTGTAATCATATTTATTTATTTTATTTATTTTAATTCGTTCAGTCATATTTATTTATTAAATATTATTTTAATATTACCAAATATAAAATTTAAAAAAATTCGCACTAATTCTCACAAATTAATGATCTTTGCTGCTTTATAAAAGTAAGAACAATTATTACTAATTTTGTATCATTTACAATCTAATGAAATAATTTTATTGTCGCATTAAATATAAAATTTTTAACTGAATATTTAAATTATTTTATAATAAAATATTAAAATATCCAGTTTGTCAATTAGTAAATAATTATAATGAACGAATGATTCTTCAATATTAAAAATTATCTTACTTCATTTTATTATTTACTTTTAAATTACCATTATTTACTAATTAAATATTTAGTATTGTATTTTCAAGTATAAATATTAGTGCCCAGGTATGCTATAGCGAATGCAATGTTTATCTAATTATCGGATGCTGTCTTTAAAATTATGTTCGTTTGCTCGACACCGCAAAAGTGACCACTGCTATTTTGAGATCGACCACCGATGAAACCGCGCTTGATTCATTCACCATAATTCATGTTAAATTCAATTGTTAAATTCGCAAGGAGTAATTAAGTGATGTTAATTTAAATAGTAAATATTAGTTATTGAATATAAATTTGTATTAACAATTGTAAAATAGTATTTCATACATAATTGTGTATAATTGCTCGGCCAAAAATAATAAACAAAGAGATATTGTCAAGTATTATTATATTGTAGAAGCTTAATTTTTAATTATTAAAATTATTATTAAAATTAATTGTACATTTTTGACATGAGGATGATAGGAAAAAATACAGTAAACTATATTGTTTATTTTTTACAACAAAACAATTTTAAAATATAGTATATTGTCAATTAATTCCGCGTTGATAAAATTGTTTTTTTTTGTTTTTAATTTTAAACTTAAATAGGTGTCTTTTTATTCTCTTTGTAACATTAAACATACTTTTCATAATATTAAAACATTGAATGTATTAAAATATTGTTCAACAGTTAAATCCTTGATTTTTGATAAAAGTTTGTTAATATATCAGCTATTCTTAAAAAAAAGTTTGCAGTTCTTAGAGCCTAGAAGAAGTTTTTTTGAATTATATTATGTTAAAGTATTTCTTTTAGTCAGTTTTTGTAGTGACATTAAAATCAAAAATTCAACAAAAATGCACTACAGTTTTTCTACTGCGATCTTCATATGAAATTAAAGTTAATATTTATATAAATTTTCATGATCATGATTAAAGAAATTAAACTTTTTCGGAGATTTAATTTATTCATTAAATAAATTATAACGAGTGTCATACTTTTGATATTTTATATACTTTTTTATGTGTATTCGTTACATGTATTATATAATCCTATACCATATGCATTTTTGCAATTTTAAAATTCGTAAATGTATAAAAATTCATAGTCTGGTTGCAATATTCTTAAATGTATGATAAAATTCCGTTTAGAATTCGACAGATATTGACAAAATTTAAAATATTAACATTGTAGACATAAAATCTTAATAACATTAAAATTTCAACAACGTTATGTGGTTATTTTTTTATTTCAATTATTACTCGTACAAAATCTTTAACGTGAAAACTTTGACGCTTTTTTATTTTAATTTGTAATCGTAATAATATTCGAAAATTAAATACAAATATAAGACGGAAATTTCAAAAACGTTAAATTATTTAAAACATTTTCGCTTTAACTAGTAATATTAGTTCAACTAATAATACTGCTTCAACTAGTAAATCTCATTTTAATGATAATAATTACACTGCGGATTTCTACGCAATCCTTCATATCTTTGAGAACATGATAAAAAAAAAAGGTAGAATATATTTAAAAAAAGGTAGAATGTATATTTTTATACATTATTCATATCACATTATGTCCTTTATTAAATTGCGTAGAAATCCGCAGCCTAGTAATAATGTTCTAAATGTCGATGTTGAAACACGTAATACTTATAAACCAGTTGTTTCAAAAAATTTCAACGATTTTGCATCTTGATGTTTACCACGTCATATCAGCTCAATAAATCTTACTTCGACCAACAATTGCAATAATATTGTACGATCTCAGTGTTAAACATCAGCCTGAAGAACTAACAAAATTGTCACTCCTGTCCTTCAGAGGGTGAATTGCGAGGCTCCACTGGTCGACAGCAGCGCGCTGCCTCTGGAGCACAGGTCGGTTTACGGGCCACCGGCTCAATATGGCCCTCCAGCGACGCACGGTGCCGAGGAGAATTGGCCCCTCGCTTCCCCGGACACGCCTCAAATAAAACACCTGCAGGTGCAATGCGAGAAAACGCACATGCGTGTGAACATCGAGTTCGACAGGCCGTTTTACGGGATGATCTTCAGCAAGGGTTTCTACTCGGACCCGCATTGCGTCCACTTGAAACCAGGCACCGGCCACCTCAGCGCAACGTTCGAGATCTTCCTGAACTCCTGCGGAATGACCTCGTCCGCGAATCACAATGTGGCGGCTTACGGGGCCCCGACGCCTTCCGGTAGTTACGTGGAGAACACTATAATCGTGCAGTACGATCCGTACGTGCAAGAGGTCTGGGACCAAGCTAGGAAGCTACGTTGCACCTGGTACGATTTCTACGAGAAGGCGGTAACCTTCAGACCCTTCCAAGTGGACATGCTGCACGCTGTCACCGCCAACTTCCTTGGCGACAATCTGCAATGCTGGATGCAGATTCAAGTTGGTAAAGGGCCATGGGCCAGTGAAGTGTCCGGTATAGTGAAGATAGGGCAAACGATGACGATGGTCTTGGCTATTAAGGACGATGAGAATAAGTTTGACATGTTGGTGAGGAACTGCGTCGCTCACGATGGCAAGAGGGCACCTATTCAGCTGGTGGATCAATATGGGTGCGTTGTTAGGCCGAAGATTATGTCCAGGTGAGTGACAATGTTTACTCTAATCTTTTCTTTTTTTTTGTATTTCAATCGTACATATGTTTGAAGAAACGTGTACGTATTTTCTTCTACTTCTTTCGTTTGTAAGAAGTGTATATATTAATTAATATTTCTTTATTCTGTCTACTTGCATTTTAATTATACATATATTTTGTTACTTAAAATTTGATATTAACGAACTGGCTTAAAGTTATTTATTGACAAGTTCATTAACTACCAAAGTATCTTCATGGATGAATATAATACGTTTGCAATTTCTCATTTAAGAAATACAAATACAAGTACGAGATAACAATAATAATTATTATTAAGTATATTTTAAAGACGAGGTTTAAAAATTAATCAACGACAGATTAATATTTAAAAAAGAAATTGCAATGATAAATTTAATAAATGTACAATTGTCTGTGTTCCTTGCAGGTTCCAAAAGATAAAGAACTTCGGTCCAAGCGCCTCGGTTGTCAGCTTCGCTTACTTCCAAGCCTTCAAGTTCCCCGACAGTATGAACGTCCACTTCCAGTGCGTGATACAAGTATGTCGTTACAATTGTCCGGAGCCGAAATGTGGACATCCTGGATTGGAATACGGTGCCCCTGCTGCGGGCCTCACTCAGGAATACGGTGCACCAGTTCATCAGAGCCTCGGTGCCGAATACGGAGCGCCCCCAGTACCTGAATACGGTGTACCACCGGCATTCGCTGATCCTCGCCATCCTAGCGGACCTGCTGGAGCTTACAGGTAGAGACTTTAATCTGACAGTTGAAGTTTGCAATAATGATTTTTGAATCCTTCGAATATGAATTGATGCGATGATTCAATGATTAAAAGACTTATAGTTTGATTCATACATACCTTTCAATCTTATTTATATTAATTTTCTATTTTGACGAAGAGAATTCATTTCCTCTATCTAAACATTGATAAGTGTTTCTAGTTTGGATATTTGGATCTGTTTAGAATGTTGTAAATTTTGAATCCCTTGGTTTTATTGATAGAACCTCTAAACATTTGAAAGACGTCATTGCCATTTGATTCCCACAGCAAGGATATTTTTATTCTGTTACTGAACAAGTTCAATATAAATTCATCAGTATATTGTAGATCTTTATACAATCTCATACTTTTATGAACACAATTAAGAATGTTAATGAATCTGCTAGTAAATTATAACAAGTACTCTGCCTTTCAATATTTTATATACTTTTACATTTATATTTGCATTTCCTAATTTTCTAGAAATGCATAAAAATCCACAGTCTATTGATATTAAAAGCATCTAAATGTTAGATGCTTTATACTCAAATCTACTTAACTGTCATAATTAACACGGCTAGGTATTCAGATGCTTGAAAGTCATCATTTTATCGCTGACATATCACTTATAATATCGCATGTAATTTATAGATTTATTATTAGTTAGTTATTATTATTACCTAATTTATTTAGTTTCTCCAATATTTTCAATTCTTTAGACATCTTATTATTTTATAAAGTCTGACTATATTATACATCTTAATCCTATCAATCTATGATGGAATCTCTCCAAGACACAAATTCACAAAAAAGACACGCATAAATTCAAACACATAAATGTCTTCTTCAAAGCCATGATTATTAATTACGTTAGTTCTGATTTATTTTCTCATTTCGTCTTGTACTGTGCTTTATTCACTTGTGTTTTTGTAATAAAAACTCTGCCCCCTTGGTTGAACAAATAAATTTTCAGTTTGTAAGATTATTTTACTTGAATTCTAAATTCCATAAATTAATCTTAAATACAATCCAACAACTATTTAGTAGTTTATATTTTACTACTAAAAAAGATTATAATCCACTATTACTGCAGATCATGTATTATATATTACATATTATGTTTGTAATAACAGTAATAACAGTATGACAGTATAGTATGAAGATTATTTACAATGCAAACAATTTATGATTTACGTTGTTCAAACGAATATTGTTTTCGAAACAGTGAACAGAACGCGGATGTAGTACCAGCACCGCAAGCTCAAACCTCATCCTCCTCGCCAAGTTCAACGCCGGGAGATGCGACGGCCAGTAGCTCGCCACAAAGTCCGCAAGATAACATTCACCTTCCTCCACCTCCACTTCCTGGTCATCCAGCAGGAGCCTATCACACGGTGAAGAGAAAGGGAACCGCCGGTTCCGAGGAGCTCGAGGGTAACCTGGCCACCCTCGGAGGTCGGCCGAGGTCGGTTGAAGGTTTTCCAGCTGAGCTTAGAGGTGCCAGAAGACGAAGATCCGGCGACGAAATTCTGGAAGATGAGGACTCCGTAAGTTTTATTTACATTTTCTCACGTTAGTTGTTTATGTCTATTTGT